TCCCCCCCCCCCCCCCCCCCCCCCCCCGGCGTCGGCGTGGTGGCTACCACGGGACAATGAAAAGCCTTTGTTGGAAGAAGCCGTGGGGACCTACCAGTACTTCAAGGTCGACACGAGCGCTGACCTTGGGGACGTGTCATTCTGAATAGAACATAGAAATGGGCGTTCCACCGAAACTCGGTGGCCGGTGGGCTAAGGCCGACGGCTCTGACTCTCTCTCTCTCTCTCTCTCTCTCTCTTCCTTCTTCCGTCTCTCTGTCTCTGTCGTTGTCCCCCGCCCAGCACAATGGTCAAACGACTACGGCATGCACGACTATGAGTACACACCCCCCCTCGGTGTTTGCCATCGGGGTTGGGTTGCCGTCGCTTGGCAACGATGTTGTAAAACAAGCCAATTCACTTCGTGAACTCAGCAACCAGGTCACCGGTTTTTAATTTTTACCTCTGTTTTTTTTTGTCGGGAGCCATGAATGGTGGTCGAGTGGATCATGTTGTGCGGTGTCGAGAACCCTCACTCCGCGCAAGGGGGATCATCGCACCACGTTGTGTTAAAATGGTCAAGCACCCTCGAGGCAGTTACACAGTGCTTACAACTGTCTCTGGAAGTGAAAGCACCAGAAAATAAATTAAGTCATACGCAGCTGTCATCCGTACGCAAGGAAGTAAGCACAAGATGCCGAACACCCTTAGCAGGATGCAGCGCACCCTTCATGCGACTCGCCGAATATCTCACGGCGCTTCGCGCTTGGTGATGTGAGAGCCTGGTCCGGTGAGAACCCGGCGTGCTCCGTCCCGGCTTTGTAGGGATGCGACGTCCACGGTCTAACGACAACGGCATGCACGACTACGAGTACACCCCCCCCCCCCCCCCCCCCCCCCCCNATCGCGTCGTGGTGGGCTATGCGACACGGCTCACCTTTTCCTCCGCCCCGTCATCCGCGCCACCCTTCCCTTCGCTGGCGGCATCGGGCTCTTCCTGCGAGGGAGGGGGGGGGAAGGGAGGGGGCGAGAGGAAAGCACCAAGTAAATAACGTTCGACTGCAGTGGGGAGTGGAGCTGTTCCTCTTTTTATCGCTAACGCCGTGCCGCACCAGTGAGTAGCGTGGCAGGGGTGGTCGTGGTGCCTTGCAAGGGCACACCGGAGACCACCAGCGCTATCTTCGTGGAGAACGCACACACACCCCGCCGAAATTACGACGAGACGTCACCGATATGGAAGGGGGGGCGGGGGGCCGTACTATTATGGTTTGCATTCCTTAGCGGTTAGACCATTGACCATGCGTCCTCGAGAGGAGAATTGTTCCCACAGGACCGATCACCGATGGCCAATCGTTCCTTTCTACTTT